GCTCAATATTGGATTAAAAATTCATCGACACCAATTATTATTGAAGAAAATTTACAAGATGTTGAGAAAATGCAAGATGGTAATTTCTATAACTTTTATCTTTTTATTTGTTATTTCTTTCCTTTATATTAATGTTAAAAGATTAATTTTTTTATCTTATAATTTTTAGAGTTACCAATTGCCATTACCTCTACTACAAATACTTGAATCTTGATGGGTTGATGACTTGATGGTGTTTTGGCTTGATGAATGGTATGTGACTATGTATAAGTTACTAAATTTCTACTTTCTAAGTTTGATTTACTATGTATAAGTTACTAAATTTCTACTTTCTAAGTTTGATTTTTTTTATTTATGTTGCTTGTGCAAGTTTAGTCGAGTAAGTGGGAATTATAAATTTTCATTTTTAGTTGCAAGGTTGAAACTTGCAAAGATAATCTAATTAAAATAAAGGTTTAGGTCTTCTTCAAATAAGAAATGCATGTATTAAGAAATGCACACTTATTACAAACATTGAACTAGAGAAGAGAAACACGAGTAGGCGGTAGGCCTACTACCTTGGTGCCTCCCGCCTACTCGTCGGTAGGTAGTAAGCCTTGATGGGTTGTTCCTTAAATACTTAGTTCAAATTAAACATTATACGCAAACATCAACCTAATAAATGCATGTATTAGTGTATTACCGCAAAAGATGTCATGAATTAAGGACTTTCTTCCAAAAAAAAAAGAAAATGTTCAACTTTGATTCCGCCTTAGCCGATGTATTTAAATGTTGTTCATCGGAAATTTTGGCTTGTGATTATTGTGGTTTATAGTTTCTTCATGTAAATCAAGGCCAAGTCATAAATGATTGTAATTGCTGGTTCATTTTCGTAGCATGTTAATATCCTCTTTCGGGAGTATTGAGTGTTTGTTGGGATTTCATTCTATTGCGGATCCCGAATGAGTGAAGGTATTGTAAATGCATAAAAATCACTTGGTTTAAGACAAGAAGAGAGGTCATGTCTCATCGTGTCCGTTAAGAAATGAGAACTGACATTCTACCATGCTTTTGCTCGTTTAATGTTGATTGTATTGTATCTAGATCTTTGTTTTGCCAAGAATTGTTTTGCATGACTTATTTCCTTTTCCTATATATGAATGTTAAACATGCTGGGTGTTTAAATTCGACTTTAATTGTGAGTTTTTTTTTTTTTTGGTGTAGAATCATTTTTAAAAAGAAAGTGGTAATCTGGTTAACTCGGCATTGCTAATTACCCGAGCTTAGGCAAAGAAAAAATAAAATGAAGTTTTAGGAGAATTGTCCGAAGTCCGAACTAGAGAAGTAATGAAAAAGTTCGATTAAATCGAATTATTTCGAAACCGAAGCAAAATAATTTGGTTTCAAGCCGAATTAATTTTGGTTTTTATTTTTCTCGCTTCGGTTAATTGAAAACCAAACCGAATTATGCTTAACCAAACCGTTTAACCGAATGATCACCCCTATCTACTCTAGCACGACTATATAAATGTTATTTATTTCGATTGGGCAATATGGAACCATATTATATAATAGATTTTGGATTTAATTTAAAATTTTATATATATATATATACACACACACGAACTACTATTTGTTTCTTAATTAAATTATTTAGCAGTTCTATTTACTTTTAATAAACCATATAATGTTTTTATTTATTTATTTTAACTAATGTTGTTTTTTATATTTGTCTGCTTTTGATATTCTTAAACAAAATATTTAATTTAAATTATGTACTTATGATAATTTTAATTCAAATAATACAATAATAGATTATCAATTATCAAATAATTTAATATGTTTAATTTTACAGTCCAGCACAGCAATCACAACAAAGGCTAAATAGTCTCTTAATTCGGGTTTTCGTCTATCTATATCTGTTCATTAAAAACCCAATAAAAATATCTTGGATGCCAGTCTTGTGATATCATTTGCATATCTCTATTCTTGATGTCATGAATTCATGACATCTACGTACTGTTACCTTTGTCGTTTCTATGTGGGAAAAGGGCGACTGAATTCAATTTAACAAATTCACCTACTCTGGCTCGGCCATATAAAGGTTATTTATTTCGATGGGACAATTTGTGGAAAAAGGTAACGGAAAAAAATGTTGTGGCGCCAATTTCAAGATTAAAAACCTATCAAGTTGTCCATTTCCGTAAAAAACGATGCTACCTTTGTCGTTTCTACGTAGGAAAAGCTTGACTGACTTCAAAAGGAACAAATTCATCCATTCTTGCACGGCCACATAAAGCAAACGAGCGCAACTAATGTCCACCACTTGCATATCTCTACTCTTGATGCCATAGTTCTGTTCGAAATAAAAATTAAGAAAACAAATAAAAATTTCAGTCTTTCCCCTCTTTTTTATGGTAAAATCTAAGAAAACAATTAATTAGCAAAGATAGGAGAGAGTTTCATTGCCTTCAAAATTAAAAATAGGTTTTTATTTTCTTAAACATGACTGTTTCTTGTTTTAGAGTTAAAATAGATGTTTAATTGATATGGACTTTTATTAGCCATTGTATATTTTTGATCAGGTTGTTCTTCGCTATTTGGCCGTAAAGAGATGGATTTGGATCACACCAAGTTAATGATGGTGGCGTTCTTGATACTGCCATGATTGCTGCCATCACTTTTAAGCACCTACCTATACTTCCTTTTCATGTCTTATATATATATATATATATATATATATATCCGAAATTGTAAGTTACTTAAATCATTGAAACTTATAATTAGGAATGTATATTTATTAGTTAAAATGAATTTTGATGACATATATGACTAATTTGGAGAAGGTGAGAGATTTTATGTATTGATGTTATGAGGAATCGATTGTGAAGAAGACTTTATATAGGATTGGGATGTACAAGTTAATTCTTAGAAAATTTGGGTTAAAAATATGTTGACAGCTAAGGAAATTATATCAATTATTCATTTGAATAAAATCCATTTACAAGGTAGGATAAAATGAAACTAGATATTATGGCCGACTTATTGTTCGAATTGAGAGAGGAGAAGTTGCTTAGCGACTTCAGATTCTTAGACTTTCACTTCCATAAATCCTCAATTACATTGAATCTTCATATTGATTTATTAATGTCGTTTAAAATTTTAATAACAAAAGGTATCCTTTAGTATCATTTTTGTTTTTTTTGTTTTTTGTTTTTTTTTACAGAACCAAACTTAGAAATAAAAACAAAGAATTTAGTATTTTATGTATTTTGTAAGTTTTATTATAAAAAAAGGACTAAGAATATATACACATTACATTGTTAATAGAAACGAGAGAATAGGGAATAATTCCTATAATTAAGCCAAGGAACATCTGCTTAATTATTCCCTTGACTAAAATATTTCTTTTAAACCCTAAAATCCAGTTTTTTCTATCTATCTGTTGTCGGTGGTTCTCACGACAACAACATCTGCTTTTTTATTATTCATCATTTTAATTGTTTATTTAAGATTTAGATCTATGCCGTCGATTGTTTGTCGACTATTTATTTTCTTCGTACTCCCTGAAAGGTGTGGGGGCTTCGTCTGTGATGCTTTTCACAGTGACATGTTTCTCGATTCAAATAGAGAGACGTGTCTATGACAGGCGTGAACATTTATTTCATGCATTATTTGTCCCTTGATGGATGGGGTCTTTGACTTATTAATTATTAGAGATACCCAATGCTTGATTAGTCGTACAGGTGGACGCATCTGTTTGATTAGGGTGGTTTGTGAGAGTTAGACGAGGTTCTCTAATCCACCACAAAATCTTGTCCGATTAGAGAGTTCCTAGTGCGATGGTAAAGGTTTCTAGAGTACGTGTTTTCGGTATCATCAACGTTAATAGCTATAGACTAACAGTTTTTCTTGGATTCCCTCCATTATACAACAAAGGTCAAATAATCTCTTAATTCGGGTTTTCGTCTATCCTTATCAATTCAATAAAACCCAATGGAGACACAGGTTAACTTGGATAGCTTCCATTTTACCTCCACAGAAATTGACTACTCTAGACAGTCATGTTATATCATTTGCGTATCTCTATTCTTGACGTGATGAATTCATGACATCAACGGCTACCTTTGTCGTTTCTATGTGGGAAAACCGTGACCGACTTCAAAAGAAACAAATTTACCTACTCTAGCACGGCCACATAAGTGTTGTTTATTTCGATGGGGCAATATGGAACCGTATTATATGACAGATTTTGGATATAATTTAAAATTATATATATATATATATATATATATATATATATACACACGCACTACTATTTTTTTTATTAAATTATTTGGTAGTTCTATTTACTTTTGATAAACCCTGTAATGCTTTTATTCTTTTTTTTTTAACTAATGTTCTTTTGATATTTATCTGTTTTTAATATTTTTAAACAAAATGTTTAATTTAAATTATGTACTTATGATAATTCGAATTCAAATAATAAAATAATAGATTATCGATTATCAAATAATTAAATATATTTAATTTTACAATGCAGCACAATAATCACAACAAAAGCCAAATAGTCTCTTAATTTGGGTTTTCGTCTGTCTATATCGATTCATTAAAAACCCAATAGAAACAGGTTATCTTGGATGCCAGTCTTGTGATATCATTTCCATATCTCGATCCCTGATGTCATGAATTAAGGACATCTACGTACAGCTACCTTTTGTCGTTTCTATGTGGGGAAAGAGCACCGAATTCAATTTAACAAATTTACCTACTCTGGCTCGGCCATATAAAGGTTATTTATTTCGATCGGACAATTTGTCGAACAAAGTTTAATGGAAAAAAGTGTTGTGGTGCCGATTTCAAGATTAAAAGCCTTTCACGTTGTTCATTTCCACAAAAAAAATGATTCCTACCTTTGTCGTTTCTACGTGGGAAAAAAGTTTAATGGAAAAAAGTGTTGTGGTGCCGATTCAAAGATTAAAAACCTTGCAAGTAGTCCATTTCCAAAAAAAAAAAAAAAAATGATTGCTACCTTTGTCGTTTCTACGTGGGAAAAGCTTGACTGGCTTCTAAAGGAACAAATTCATGCATTCTTGCACGGCCACATAAAGTTAAAGCAGCACAACTAACGTCCATCATTTGCATATCGCTATTCTTGATGCCATAGTTCTGTTCGAAATAAAAATTAAGAAAACAAATAAAAATTTCAGTCCCCCCCCCCCCCCCCCTCTATGGTAAAATCTAAGAAAACAATTTCATTACCTTCAAAATTAAAAGAGGTTTTTATTTTTATTAAAGTTGACAATTTTTTTATTTTTATTAAAGTTGACAATTTCTTGTTTCGGAGTTAGAAGAGATGTTTAATTGACATGGACTTTTATTAGTCATTGTATATTTTTAATCAAGTTGTTCTTCGCTATTTGGTCGCAAAAGAGATGGATTTGGATCACATCAAGTTAATGATGGTGGCGTTTTTAGTACTGCCATGACTGCTGCTATCACTGGTAAGCAACTACTTATACTTCCGTTTCATGTCTTATATATATATATATATATATATATATATATATATATATATATATATATATATAAAAGCTTCAACGATTTGACTAATTTATTAATAAATATACATTCCTAATTATAAGCTTCAAAGATTTGAGTAATTTGACAAAATTGTAAAATTACTCAAATCTTTAAAGCTTATAATTAGGAATATATATATTTATTAGTTAAAATGGATTTAGATGACATATATGACTAATTTGGAAAATGTGAGAGATTTTATATATCGGTATTCTGAGAAATCGATTATGAAAAAGACTTTATATATGATTGGAATGTACGGGTTAATCCTTAAAAATTTTGGGTTGAAAATATGTTAACTAAGAAAATTGTATCAATTACCCATTTCAATAAAATCCATTTCCAAAGCAGGATAAAAAGAAGCTAGATATTATGGCTAACTCATAGTTCAAATTGAGAGAGGAGAAGTTGCTTAGGGACTTCAGATTTTTAGACTTTCACTTCCCTAAATCTTCAGTTGAAATTCCCTACAATGTTAGGGCAACCAAATTTTACACTGAATCTCCATATTGATATATACTTTAATGCCATATAGAAATTTAATGAAAAAATATATCCTTTAGTATCATTTTTGTTTTTTTGTTTTACAAAACCAAATTTAGAAATAAAAACAAAAATTTTGTTTGTTTTTATATTTCATTTTCAAACACATAAAAAATCAACAATCAGTTGTCAAAAGTTTTTAAAACCAAACAAAATGGTCTCAAAAAATGGTGAGCAAAGGTTATCTATTAATTCAAATCTTTGCAATATAAGTCACATAACATTATTGTTTTCATTTTGTTTCATTGCAGAAAAACAACATGGATTCCAAAAATAAGATGAAATTGCAAGTTCACATTTAATTTGTATTTTTATTTTGTTATATGCAGTTGTTAAAGGATTGGATAGAAGGAAACAAATCAAGCAGATATAAATTTTTTTCCCTTCTCAATTTTAATGTTTGTACTGAGGTGAATGTATTGATTTTTGAATGGTAATTTGAGTTTGAAAATCTTAGTTTCATTCCATAAAAGTATTAGCACAACCCTACACTTCAAATTAGAATTAACTCTATTTATATATAGCAACAAATAACTCATATTTGTTAGTTTTATTTCTTCTCAATTTGAATGTTTGTACTATGATAAATGTATTAATTTTAAACGACAATTTGAGTTTAAAAATCTTAGTTTAATTTCATAAAAGTATTTGTGCAACCCCTACGCTTCGAATTAGGATTAACTCTATTTATATATAGCAACAAATAACTCATAATTATTAGTTTTATTATATGGTTACTCTTACCAACTTAAAACAAACTTGAATTGCTTTAAAACAGATTTATACTATCCTTGGTTGAACTGTTTCCTATAGTTTTTGTTATGTCCTTGAGCAAATAACAAAATGAACTTTTACAAAAGATTTTCTTTATATGTAACTACATTTCCATATGTCATACACATTAAAATGTTTTTCATTATTTTTCTCAATAAATGAATGCTATTTTTTTCTTTAAATATTTCTATTTGTTCTATCCAATCTGTAGCATAGCACGGGTCACAAGCTAGTTACGGATCTAAATTGAATTATATTTCAAATTATATATATATATATATTGAAAATAATAATTATCAAAAAACTTTCACTTAACATTATATTATTATAAACCTTTATTTTGAAAAAATTCTTTTCAATTATATGTGACATGAATTTAAATTAATTAATATACATATATGAAAAAAAAACCATAAATTATTTTTAATAAATCTTGCATTTTGTAATATTATCAATGTTTGTTCAAAAAAGTAAAATAAAAATAAAAATTACATAAGACAATAACAAAAAATAACCTATAAAAAAAAAACTCAGGATTCAATTTAATATTTTGATGAGTTTTGATATAATTTAATTTAACTATTTTTGGATTTTAAGTCTTTATGTTTTTTATTGAATGTTAAAAATCAGTTGTTCAACTTTTGAGAGTGAATGGTAATTTTTATATAAGCATGTTAAATGTATATTAATTTCTATTTTAAAAAGCATTAAAAGTGATTTTTTCTTTTTTTTTTTTTTTTTGGAAGCAAGGACGGTACCCTAAAATTTTAGAAATGAAAATGTGAAAAGAGATAAAGGGGTACAAATTAGCCTAACCCAACATGATGAAGGGACAAGAAAGCCTAGACCCCTGAAATAAAAGTAATAAGGGATCCTTAAAATCTTAATAAAACTTTGCAATATAACACAAAGATAGCAATGGAAATCGCACTACAAATGTATATAGCTAATTCCTGAACCTTGCTAAGCCATAGTAGTCTTCCTTGAATGCCCTATGAACTGAAGTAGGGAGTCCATCCAGTGAGTGGTAACTAACCTGATTAACATGTACATAGGCCTGCTTGCTAATCTATTTGCAGTAAAGTTGCCTTCTTTGCAAGTGTGAATAAATTTGGCACGCCCCATCATATGTTTGCATTGTCGTAGTAAATATGTTAAAGACCATGGCACTCTAGATATTCCATTGACATCATCAATAATAAAGTTTGAATCCAACTCAACAAAATGAATTGTTAAGTTAAATTTTTTACGCAATTCAAGACCTTCCACTATTGCACTTATTTCTTCCTTGTTATTAGAACATTCTCCGTAGTGTAAAGAGAATGCAGTAATCATTTTACCATTTTCTTCCCTTACCAAACGTCCTCTAATGCACATTCCTTCCCTTGCTAATCCATCATAGTTTAATTTTAGCATTTGCATAGGGGGACCAAGCAATCCATTTTCCTTTTGTAACTATTAAAGAAAGTAGAGGGATACATAAAGCTTGAATGCTTAAAGTATCATGGAAACCAAGGGTGGCTCGCGGCATGAAAAAAGTTTAGATATCTACCATCCATCTCTTAACTTTGAGGATGATTTCTACTGTCAACATGTCCTTCCCATCAAGCAGTGCTCTGTTGCGTGCTTTTTATAATTCCCAAAGGGTGCAATGAAGCATCACCATTCTGCATAATTGTTTTTACTGTATGGAGCCACTTACCTATTAAAGAGTGTAGGCTACTGTAAACCACGAGGACATTTAGTAAAGGACCAAAGAACTTCCAAAATAGTTATAGCAGTCTTTCTATGTAAAAATAAATGCTCTACTGTCTCTATTGCTGGATGTTTGCAGTAGTGGCATTGGGAGGGAAGAGGAATGCCTCATCATTGAATTTTTCCATCAACAAGAACTCCATTGTTAATGATCTTCTAGGTCAGAATAGCCATTTTAAGAGGAATCCATGCATTCCAGAATAGCTTTCACCACTCAAAATGTGAACCTGATGTGTGAAGCTGTTATCGATATGAGGCCGTTTTGGACTGACCCATAGTCACTGAAGTGTCGACCAGATTATTTGATTCATCTGGAGCTAACTTGACTAGCCTTAGCTCTAGTTAGGTTGACTTGGATAGAGATGATAAAACTTCTTCATTCTGCAGTACCTCTCTTACAGTAAGCTTTTTATAAGGGCTTAACATGCTTGGCTTCTACACTTCTAAAGAAATCCTTCCCTCCCCTATTAACCATCTCGATTTATCCATGATAAGTAGAATATGGGGCAATAGTTTTCTCTAAACAAGAGAGCCTCCATTTCCCTCTACATTCAATGAATTATAATTGCCATCTTTTGAAGTTATAAACCGTGCCCATAAAGAAGTTCCATGTAGGTAAGCCTAAGCTAGTTTACCTTTCATTGAGTTAATTAGCTCCTAAAAGTTATGAACTCCAAGTCCTCCCTCTGAATAAGGTTTAGCAATTTTCTCCCAACTAACCCAATGATGTCGCCCTTCTTCACCATTATTCTAGAAGAAATTTGAGATGCAAGACTAAATGTGCTTTAATGAACTCTTTGGAATAGGCATAACTACCATAGTGTACATTGGAAGAGAGGATAGCATTGATTGTATCAGTGTTACCTTACTACCCGTGGATAATAGTTTTTCCTTCCAACCTGTTAATTTTCTGTGCATCTTCTCTTCTAAATTCTGGAAAAAGGATACTTTAGCACACCTCATGAAGAGACGGATACCCAAATATATGGTGGGAGCTTTCATATGTCTAAACCTTGTCCATCTCTTTAAAAGTCTGATCCTGTTTATGGGAAGTTTACTACTACAAAGAAAGCCACTTTTACCAATATTCATCAGTAAACCACTACAGTCGCAGTATTTTCTAATTGTCCACATTAGTTTATCCACTGAACATTTTGACCCATTACTGAAAAGTAGCATGTCATCTGTAGTTATGCTTTAAAAAACAAATGACTAATATTAATGGTGTTCTAACCAGCATAGTTTGGTTAAATTCGATCCTATAGAACTTGATGGTTAAGATTTTTACTTAGAACATCCTGAACAATGATGAACAATGCTAGTAAAAAGGGATCACCTTGTCTAACACCTCGTTCTAATTTAAAGAAACTATAAGAACTGCCATTTAAGATCATTGAGTACCAACAATTATCAAGACACCGTAAAATGAGAGAGAAACAGTTAGTAGAGAAACCAAACTTAATCATCACTTTGATAAAAAAAAAACACCATTCTAAACGATCATATGCCTTTGCCATATCTACTTTAAAAACAATATTCCCTTCGACTGTTTTTCGATCAATCTCATGAAAATGTTCATGTGTTAGTGCTATATTTTTCTATATCAGTCTTCCTTTTACAAATCCACTTTGTTCTTTTGAAATAAAATGCGGTAAAACTTTGCCAAGCCTTTGAGTTAGTATCTTGGCAATTAACTTGTAAGGCACATTATAAAGACTAATTGGCCTCAAATCATTATACTCTGATGGGTTCCTACATTTTGGAATAAGGACCATGGATGTTGCCATTACTGCTTTTGGTATACTACCACCTATAAACACCTCTTAAACCGCATGAATTATGGATTTTCCAACGACTTCCCAATAGGTCTGATTGAAAGCCCTAGTAAAATCATCCAGACCTAGTGCATTGGATAGATTAATGTCAAATACTGCTTGTTTTATTTCTGATGCCGATGGAATCTCTGTAACATGAGATTCTATTCTGCAGTGACTAAAAAGGGGACAAATTCAAAGAGCTCATTTGGAGGAGGGACTGAACTCGTTTGCACGAGGCTTTGAAAATATGTGACTGCACCATTGCCTAGTACACTGTCATCTCTGCAAA